AAATAAAAACATAGTATTATTATAGCTAGTGTTCACATTGTTAGGTTAAGATAAAGTCTATACATGAGCCAAGTGGCCTGTCGTACCGTCGCTTATCTCCGGTTTCTGTAGCGTGAAGCGACTAGGAGTATTTCTACTCCTCCCTGGATGGGATGCTAGTCCATCCCAGGGTTACCCCCAGCTTTAAATTCGCTGGTACCCATTTATACATCTGGGCAGAGAGAGGCACTGTGAGAGTAAAGTGTTTTGCCCAAGAAGACAACTCAATGTCCCCAGCCAAGGACACACATTCGTATCGTTAGTGCTATATTATTAATACTGAGTACCTTGTAATGTGCAGCTTTGAAACTTTGTTCACATGTACTTTAATATGACGGTACTTTAATGCAAAAAATACTGTTTTAAAAAAGTTGAATAATTTGCAAAATTAGACAGAATTAAACTTTTTATTAGAATTTCTTCATCTATAAAACTTTACTTTTGTGTTGTTTTTTTTTACATAGTTACTTTGTCATCCAGTTAAGCATTTTCAAACAGCTTTCCTCGGTACCATGTTGCACAAGGGAGTGAAAAATACGTAAAACATGCGTGACCTCCTGCTTTCCAACCTTCACAGTTATTATTTGAGTCACCCGATAACCATGCAGCACCAGTTTTTGTATGATCATTTTCTTCTCATATATTTTGCTTCTTGACATCAGTTCCTTTGTTAATTGTTCATAACTTATTGTCAGTTTGTTTAGGATTGAGTTTCATTTGTCTTAAGTTGTTATTTTAAATTCAGTAAAATTTTCTCTCGTTAGAGGGCTTGTAACTTGTAACTACTGCTTTGACTCTAGAGTTAAGTGAAAAAATCATTATTACAGATATTTCATAACTTAAAGGCACTTGTTTTGGCTTAAACAAAGGAAAAACTCGGCCAATCTCTTTTCTGGAAGTTTCTTTAATGTATTAAATAACCTAGTAAATGAAATGTATTCAGGCGCGGATCTAGGATAAATGGTGACTGATTTCCGAAACAACGAATTCCGAGTTCGCTTCTACCATAGCTTCTGGTTCTTGCTATCATCATAACACCAGAGCCGCTTCCTATGAGAAACAAACTTATATTTCGTTCATTTGTCTACTCGACGTCAATACAAACGACCTATTCTAAACAATCAAATTAATTTAAAAAGTACTCTTCTTCATTGACCGAGTAAAGGTGGCTCATGGAAAAAAATCTCTGCCCTTATATTTAGTTCTGTGATGGGACGCCGAGAAATTTGAAAAAATCCATGCTTCCTCTTTCATAGTTTCAGCACAGGCACCCTAAGCTCTCTCCATGAACCACACAAGCAATACAATATGGCATCGAATTAGAAGGGTTTATATGAGATTTTCTACAAGATATCCATGGAGGTAGTTAAAAGTGAAAATTCTCAATAAAAATGGCTTACCTTATTCCATACGTGTGTCCTTTGCTCCTGGTGTGATCATTTTACCGATTTAATTTGATCTAAGCGACTTTTTTGAATTCCGGTTTTCCCTTCACAAAATTTTCTCGACCCTTCGGATGTTTTCTTTCCTACATAAGAAATCGGGGACGGACCCCAGGCTCCTCCTGGGAGTCGCCATGCCTCTAAATAGCACAGTAGCACAACTTGGAAACGCGATGCCATGAATTAATGGCGTAGTGCAGAAAAAATGATATTGTTACTACCACTGTGTGCAGTATTTCCTTTCAAAAATAAAAATCCACGCTGACTAATTTTCCATTTGAGTTTTCTTTGCCGCAAGGGTGTGCCTTGTTCAGCGATTGTCACGTATGAAATGGTCTTTTTATGTATTGATCGAGGTCTGAAATAGAAGAGTCACTCTTTAATGGTTTATTGATCATGGCCAGGTTACGTCAGTTTTAGATAGGTATACCAACAGGAAATGAACTTTAACTTTTGGCTGTGTGATGAGGCATGGGATGGAACATTTCACCTTGCTAGGGAACGAGAAATCTCCCGAGTCTTGCTTGATGTACAGAGACCTGTCCAGCGCTTCGTTCCGATTCACTTCAAGTTTTGGTTTCTTTAAAGGAAAGCTTAAAAAATCTTTTGAATAATCACTGTCTCACTCAGGTTCTGAGGTAAGAGTGAAAGAAAAGAACGAAAGGCATTACATTATTGACTGCGAGTGGATCCTCTTTTTTTTTTTAGCTCTTTTGATTTCCGGAGATCGCGCCACACAAGATAGATGATTTCTTGGAATCTATTCATCTTTTAGCCTGTGAGAAGGCTCTCTAGTCAAGGATGGGTCGAAAAGAAAGCGGAAAGAAAGAGGAAAAAAGAGGGAGGAGGAAAGAGAGATGGGGGGACGCCTTAACCCCCATTCCATTCCCCCTCGGCCACTTCACTCTTGGCAGTTCCTTCTCGGCCCTTCTACAGGCTACTCATCTTTGGAGCTGTGGATGATAGCAGAGGCCATAATCGGGGACAGAGACCGTAACAAAGTAGCATCTTGATGGACAGGCTTGTTGCTATGATACATATCAATTTTGCTGTTTTTGGAACAAATTGTGCATCGCGTGTGGCACTATACTTTCGCGAGGACACCACGAGGCGGAAAATAAAAACGTTGGCGTCCGAGATCACTATCATTGGTGAAAATATTCATGATATCGGTAATGTGGGCTTGACTGATATTCAAAAAACGTACAACGATCAATAAAATGAGCGCACGTACTCAATAGGGGAAGAAAGACTGTTGCGGTTGACCCCTAGCTAAAACGACGTGCTCAGGTAGGTAACATCCGCCTACAGTTCCTGAAGTCCCAAGCCTTTTATAGCCTTAAAAATCTTTGGACTGAAATACTCGACAGTCTTTCCTTCAGGCAATATAAAAATTTAATACAGCGAGACAAACAGGGTATAGCGATATTCAAATGTTTTTCTTTTCTTTCAGGCTTCAAAAGAGAAACAGGTGGACAAAAATCGTATATATTACTTTTGCCTCATTGCATGGCTTTATCATCAACACCTGCGCTTGAAAATAATAATAATAATAATAATAATAATAATAATGATAGTAATAATAATAATAATAATAATAATAATAATCTTTTTTTACTTTGAACTTGTAATGCACTAGATTTGCCTTAACAGAAAATAAAGTAGCGAATTAGTCATAACAAAGAAGTTCACATCCAGACATCGCAATATCCTGGTCCATTAATATGCATTATCTTAGCAAAAACGAAACAAGCTAGTTAAATTTAGCAATCAGTAAGGGATTTTTCTTGGATATAAAATGTACATGAAGACTGAAATTTGTGCAAGCGCACTCCCGAGATCTCTAGATCAGAACATGATTTCGCTTACAATTAACACATGCTCGATCTTAAAGAAATAAATGATTGTCTTCGTTTCAGCAGCTGTCAAGAGTTTTGTTCAATAACCCAGTGGTTGTTCAGCAAAGCAATGGACGTGACTCTTTTTTGCTTCCCTTAACTTTTAGTCTTTTTTTTTTTGGCTTGTTGTGATTGGTTATCTAGCACTTTCGCGTTTCCGCACGTGCTTTTGAATTGAGAAAAATAAAGAATTATTCCTTTCATCACAACACTAAAAACACGGAGGCAACTTAAGGTATTTAGCATTTTCACGAGACGCTCCTGTAGCATAAAATTTCGGCAACGCGCCGGAGGAGTGGACATCACATCGGTCACTACAAAGCACCAGTTAGATAAAGCCTTGGACTGAACCTCTAGTGCAACTTAAAAGACTTGAAGTAAAATGAACGAAGAATATTAATTGAGTTGTGATTCCTGGTTGAGCCCTCTGGAAGATATTTTACAGCGAGGTATGACTACACATACGTTTAACATTCTAAATGTATGTGATTCCGTGTTCACATTGCCGACGATCGGTTTCTGAACAGCAGCAGGTCACGCTCTTAAGCGCTTCTATGACACATTATCTGGCATTAAAATTGAATTTTTAAAAACGCAAGATATGATGTGAACGAAAGGGAACGACACAGAAAAACCACAAAAATCAAGCAGAAAGGCTAACAGTCGAAACTGAATAAGATTTAAGCTAACACAATTTCCGTGAGACGTGTTCTAAGGCGGCTGTTTCAAGTTTAGAAAACTGATAACTTACACTACCAATCAATTCTGTTGAGAAATTTGTATATTGGCCATAGCGCGCATAACCCCACAGTGGCTATCAGACAATAACGTTTGAGACTGGACTCGCATGACTGAATGCGTTACCGAAATAAGACTGGCAAAACTATATTGTCATGTTGTCATGCACGCAAGAGAATTTTCAATTTATGCGAAAGTTTGATGACCTACAATAGATCGAAAAGTCTAGAATGACTGCGGAAATGCGTCACTTAGCTGGTATGTATTTTTTGACAAAAGAAGAAAATTATTTACCCTTTGCATCGGCACGAAAGGTGCTAAGTCAGCTAAAACTGATTCGTCCTTAACGCCCTTAACTACTACTGCTGAGTAAGCAAAATTCGTAATAAAATACGAAGAAAAGGGATTTGGTCACTTTCATCTCAAAAAATGCATAGCATTCTCGAAAATGCTACAGTTCCAATAGATTTCATTTTACATAAACAGCTACTAGGCTCAAAGTTGGAAATACGTGAGTTCTTGCATGACCATGATGATGAAATGAAGGAGGCCGGGGAATCCCCGACGGGCACAGGCACGCAATTTAAATTGATCACGACGGTCGCGTGCAAAAGTTTTTATTTGTTTGGGATACTCTGCGTGGCTAACTGAAATATCCTCATCTTCCGTTTTATATCATATATGTTTAAACTGAGGTAGTGACAGACATCGGTTTTACGACATCGTAGAAATCTGCAGTTTGTAATCGACCCCTAAAAATATCAACTTGGGTGTTTACTGCAGTTAATGCAAGTTAAAAAATTGATTGCACTTGTTTGTACTTTTTCCGCTTTCTGCTTCGAGACGATGAGCTTCAATTGATGTGAAAGCCCTTCACAAAAGATGCAGTGCACTTCAGGGAAAATACTTCTAACGATTTTGGTAAGTTTTATTGTACAAACTCATTCGAAACTTTAATTGTCCGCATAAGCTATTCAGCCGATTTTATTCAGCTGCGACGTGGTTGGCCCTTCAGGGTCTCGCTCTTAGGCCTTGGCGGATTGTGCTCCTAAAAGTGGCATATTATGCTTCTAGCAGTGCTCGAAATTTTGCCAAATAATATATTATGCTCCTGATTCCTGAAATTATGCTCACAAAATGACGTAGATTCTGTTCATTGAGGCGCGCAATAACGACACCAAATTATGATGTTTTTCAAATAAACTGTTGTTGTAAATTTATTTGTGTTTTATGGCAGTTTGTCTCGGCCGTCAGCTGTCCAAATTAGCTGCTCGCGTCTCTAAACCGTTTGTAAAATGCCTTTAACGATACGCATTGCAAGAACATATTACCTAAACAACGGGTCGCTGAGTTTTGTTACTCGACCGTTTTCAAACAGGTCGAGTGCTTGCCAACACTGACAAATCACTTTTCGGATTTATCCAGCTCTGAAAACAATAAACCTGTACCTATGGTCGGAATATGTGTATTCTCGGACAGCGAAGGAAAAGACTCCGAAGTTTGGAAGAAAACCTCGTCAAGCCAAATCCAGTTCATTCCTTCCGGATAGCAGCTCTCGTCTTAAGTCTAGCAATCGATTTTTATCCAGATCCGTTTAAGGTATCCTGAGGAAAAAGCTCGCGATTCGCGTTTGACGAAGAAAATGGTGCCTTTCCTGGCGGAAAAACTTGAAAAAAATCGACTCAACACTTCAGTGTGGAACCTTCGATCTTCGATGGTCTGAAACTCAGTCGCTATGTTGTATCTCTCGAGCCATCTGAGCTTATGTTTTGAATGTTAACCGCTGAAAAAATGAACTGATTTAACTAGGCTACGAAACAGCCGCCGAAATCCCACACAAAGTCAAGTTTGGACAGACGAACTTACGATCGCACGCGCGAATTTTTTAAGCCTTGAAATGGAACGCTTACGGTAAAACCATTTCCGTAAACTAACAACCAAACACTTGCCTCTTTGTCAGATGAGCTGGTGAGCATTTTGTTGTTGTTGTTATATTTAGCATAAATAGGCCACTAGCTGGACAAATGTTTAGGCGTCCGAGATGGTATGATGTCAGACAATTAATCTTTTAAAGTGGCCGAACACAGTTTTCGTGCGCGCTTTTGCTCATGCGATTCAGCGCGCCCTCAAGGATACCAAAAAACAAACATCCGTCAATAGAGTGATCATTTTATTTCCTCAAATTCTAGATATTCCAGTGAACCTTCAACAAGTAGTTTTATTTATTTTAGCATATCTTAAAACACAATTTTATCTCGTTTACATATAGATATAAATTCTTAAAATTCTTAGATATCTTTTTAATTGTAAATTTAGTTAGCATCTGGCAGGTGAAGAGCCACCCTGTGGATATACTGCCCGAAATGCCATTATTATTATTATTATTATTATTATTATTATTAAAGATCTCTCTGTTAAATTATTATCAAAATGGTGTTAACTTGTTGCATGCAAATTATAAAGAAAATCTAATGACTAGATTTTCTACAAATAAACAAAACCAATTTTAAAGGCCTGTTTATATTTGTTCATGTTCCATGGCAACTGAACATATGTCAGCTTAACTATCAAAAAACCAAAGTTTGTGTTCTTAAGGTTACTTCAAACCTTTGCAGGTGTCCTCCAGAAAAAAATTCATACACGCGCTGTTTTGAAGGAAACCCCCACAAATTATGTATCAAAAATGTAGAATTCAATGAAATTATATTCTTTTTTGCTGACTGCTTTCCTAAGGCAGCAAAAGCCGTTAACACCAAAACGACCGACTGAAATTCTGGTGAATTAATTGGATATCAAATGCGATCGTTGATGCAAAATAACTGTGCAGTGTTGATCACAAAGCATCAATCTCTCAAAGCGTGTCAGCATTTTCTTTCATTTCTACTGGTTATCTTTTTATAGATCTGTCAAGTTCCACTATCGAAAAATTCACGTAACGTGTTGCGTTAGAGTCCGCCACAAGAAAAGTATTTGAAATAAAAGAATTCGCTGACATGTTTTTGTTCGGTATCTATCAGTGAATGTTCTGGCTAAATTTCATGGAAAACCGTCGATTCTACATATCCTATCAATTCATTTAAAGAGGAGGGATTCTCTCGAAAAACAAGTGCAACTTTTCACCTTCTAAAGATTTATAAACATGTCACGCCTTCTCAGAGGGATATGTCAACTCAAAATGCTGCCAGCCAATGAAATAACAGAACCCCTGGCGTTCACAGTAAGGAAAGTTGAGCTTCGCGGTAAAGCGATAGTGTTACAGTCATGTTTTAGGCGTGTACGTTTTAGGCTGGTGGTCAACGAAAAAAGGGCGAAACGGCGAAAAGCGATGTGCAACAAAACAAAAAGAAACTGAGGAGCAATTGCGGAAGTGTGATTACAAAAAGGCACTCTTGATGGACATGAAATCTCAGATTGAAAGTATTTGATAGAATCTCTGGATTAAGCCGTTTGCCGCGAAAAGGTCGCTGAGGAGTCCATGCCTTTTGAGGATTATGACACCTTGATGGTTTATTAACTTTTACTAAAAAACCTCTTTTTTCCAATAACTCGTGTGCATTTTAATATTTTATTTCCTTTTTTGGAAAATGTTACCTTGAATAATGAACTTAATTTGGTTGGAAAAAAGAAAATTCGGAAAAAGTAGCCCCACAAAGGTTTGGAGTAACCTTAACTTGCTGCTATTTTTGGCGAGCGAGGGATCAAGGGTTTTAGAGAAACAGGTGAATGAAACTCAGGTATCAAAAATTGTGTTCAGCCACCTTAAGCCAACTTACGTTACGCGAATTTTCTCTCAAAAGATGCCACTAAAATGAAACAAACAGTGCAAGAACCTAATCAATATCCTAAACTTTACCTGGAAGAAAAAGCAAAATAAAAGTGCGTCATATTTGGTAGAAATATGTGATGAAACTTAAGTGTCTGACAATAGATACCAATACCTAAAGTGTTTTGGCTACTTTAATTTTGTCACTGGTCAGTTTTACAGGTTTTTATGTCACAGATCAAGAGGAGTTTGGACTCCATCTAAGTTTACTCTTTGTATATCAACTGGTTTGCCTTTTGATCTTCTTTGAAGTCAATACTTTGATCTTTGTTTTCTGAGTAGGGTATTTATAATGCTTGCTGATTGTTTTATTTCGGAAGTAGTTAAGCTTTGATTTTGTTAATGTGTTTTTATTCTTAGGCATTTCTTACCATCTCATCAGTCAGTAAAGGTTATGAGTGTCCAAGCTGTAGTGGCCAGTACATCAAAATTATTGATCCCTCAACAGAAAAATGTTTAGAGTGCTGGCCTTGCCCAGAATGTGTAGATGGTCATGGTTCATCTGTTAATTGTCGAGCAACTGTACCTGAAGGCACAAAAATTCACTGTGTGCTATGTGTCAATGGTGCAAATTTCTCGGACAGTTTTGGTACTGATCAATGTCAACCTTGTGGAGTGTGCGCAGGCGAACATGAACATGTACTCAACAAATGTACACGTGAAAGTGATGTCAAGTGTGATTGCAAAGCAGGGTTTTATCGGAACAAAACAAATGATAAATGTCTTCCCTGTAGTTCCTGCCCAAGCTGCTTGAGGGATAAAGACATCTTTGCAAAATGTCAGAAGGATAAAGGTGAACAGCAGATGGCAAGGTCATCTACCACTACATACAGTACATCATCGGTCTCATCCTTAGTAACATCTTCCCATTCACATTATCATGCTACTTCTATGTCTTTGCTTCCTACAAGAACCCAAGAGATCAGCCCTACATCAACGAGTGTATTAGAGCATGAGATGACGACACCCACTTCAAAAGCCACCGTGCAAGTGCAAATGAATGATGACCACACTCATAAGAGTTCCAGCAAGAAAACTGAAATTATTATCTTAGTATCAGTCATCATCATGTGTGTGTGTCTGCCAACTTGTGTGACATTGTGTCTTCTATACCACACAACAAAGAACTCCAGTACTCGTCGATTGAATGACGACCCTGTTAGATTTTCAGAGTTAAATCAAGGCGCTATTGAAGAGAGCGAACAAGGAAATAATGAAGAGAGTAACTCATGTGAGACCTCTAGTGTTGATGAGCTTAATATGGATAAAACACAATGCAGTGAAACTGTTGAAGAAAGAAATAGTAGTGAACCTGATTTATCATCTTCTTTGAGTGGTTCAGAAGGCAAGTCCAATGGAACTGCAGAGTTGACAGCCCATCAGGATGGTAGGGTCATAGTAAGTGATCATCCTGAAGAGACAGCAGCAATAGGGATTCCGTCATCTCTTGAAGATGAACAAAAAAATGAACAGAGTAATTACATCTGTCAAGGTAAATTGGTTGGGTAAAATAGGTGTAGTTGAATACCCATACTTAAGCCAATGAAAAATTATAGTAAATAATTGAAATTGGCAGTGCCATTTTGAAATCCAAAATTTTAAAGAAGGTGGAACCTTCCACCCCTCCATACATTAGTGGAAGGTTATGGAGGGGTGGAAGGTTCAAAACCAAAGAAGCTTTTCTTTGGGAGGAGTATGGGTGTATATGTTCATATATTTCTTTGACTGTAACTTGCCAGTGTTAGTGCAATATGGTCCCAGAGAAATACCAAACCACAAAATCAATTCCCTCCCTAATATCACTTTTTCATCTCTGTCCTCCTCTCTGTGATAGTCTGTCCACAGATGTATATTTTTGCTACCAGTTATTTTTTTTTAGCACGCTAGTGACATAAACATGGAGCACAAGAGCAGCTGTGAGGCTGGCACAAAAAAATTGTTTGCCTTTCCCCGTTTCTCCTCCTATGTGTTCAGGTTGTTTTCAAATCCCCTGCAGTTAATGCTCTTACTTGTGGTCTTGACAATCTCAAGGCAAAATAGAGGATCTGTGGACAGTCTACTCTGTGGTAGAACAAGATTTGTGGGGTTTGTTAGGCTCTCATTATAGTGGGGGATGCAGTATTTGTACCTATGGCAAAGTTATATGAAGCCTAGTTTACATTCTTCGGGGGTTAGAGAAAAACTGTTATTGCTTTGATTGGATGGGGTAGTTTAAAACAGCAACATACTAGCTGGTTTTCAAGGTCTTATGTTTCTAATCAAGTGGTCTATCTTCCACATTCTCTATTTTGTGTGTGCACATGGTGAATTTGACCAGAGTCTGCAATACTCTGTTCCCCAAGATACCTATGGTAAGGAATATTTTCTTTTATTACTTTTTAGGGCATAATCGGCCATGTGATTTGCCTGAAGATGCTCAGGATGGCTCTGTTATTGCATTAAAGGATGGGACAGTGGTTCCCTCTGACAATCTGGATGCACTTGTTGATGTGAAAAACAAGATGCCATCTGGCAACAACACAGCTGTTAATGTGTTCATCAATCTTCATGACCTATCACAGATAAAGAGAGGCACAGGTAAAAACATGTCAACTGTTTGTTAAGGTGGCTTATGGTGGGTTTGAAGGAGGCTGGAAACTACTAGCCTGGTCAAAACATTTTTCTCAAATGTGCCTGAGGAACCTTTCCTCAAAATTTTCGAAAGAAGAAATTGCATGGTTCTGATTTAACACTCATGCAAAGTTAAATAAAAATCTGTAAGACAGATTTTTAGGTATTTTTAAAATAGGCAAATTTTCTCCTTTTCTTTGTTTACAAAAAAGTCTCTCCTGAACATTTTTATTTGATTTTGCATGAATACGTGATCAGAGCCAAATTCTAATTTCTGAAATTTTGAAGTTAAGCATTTATTTGTTTTGTAGGTTTGTATGGGTAACTTTTGAGATTAACTAAATACTTAATAAAAATCCAAAGTTACTTACCATAAATCCTCGAGTTATCGCCCCCCCCCATCGAATAAGTGCCCCTCCTATCACCTGAAAATTAAAATAAGCGCCCCCTCCCCTCCCTCCCATTTTGTGGACGAGTAATGAGACAACAAAAGATGCATAGTTTTCGTCATGTAGTATTAGATTTGTACATTGTTTTAGTTTGTGAACATGTCAAGTGAACACCTTGAACACGTTAAGTACTAATGACGGTGCCGCGATTAAAACTTTAGGATCAGCTTTTTATGTCAATAAACAGCTTATGTTATTGTTTACATACAGATGATGTATTAAAAAAATGATCTTGTCAGGCCACAATTTGGGAAAAATTAAATAAGCGCCCCCCTCAAATAAGCACCCTGTCTTCTCCTAAATTTGAAATAAGCGTCCCGGGCACTAATTCAAGGATCTACGGTATACATTTGTTTGACAATTTTTTCTTCACTGATCTATCTTATAGCTGCTGTGTCTCCATTTGGTGACTTTAACAGTGCATCTTGTGGTAATAATGTGATGATCCCTGCATCAAGTTCAGGAATGCCAGTGCCAGTAAACCAGGGAACAATCTGTGCTCCTAGTTCCACTGCGACACCAACAGCCCAATCTATTGAAGGAAACAGAGGTTATGCGACCCACATAACATGTGTACCTTCACCTGTTATTAATGAAATGTGCAGGCTGCTAGATTTGGATAGATATTTAATAGATGGAAATGATTATACAAGGCTTGGAAGTGAACTTGGGCTGGATTCAACACAAATCCAATCCCTCAAACAGAAATGTAACAACCCGTCTCATGTTATTCTTACGCAAGTGTTTCCAGCTTTGCCAAATTCTGGAACACTTGAACACCTCATTCCCTTGCTGAAAAAAATGGGAAGACATGATGTGATTCATGTCATAGATAGATGGGTGGGTAATCAAAAGCGAACACAGGCTTCCCATGTTAATTAGGTGTAAACAGTGTTTCACAGTGGCAGATCCAGACCCTTCTTCTTTATACGATGGGGACCCCTAACTTTTTGCAGCCATTATCAGGCTATAAGTTAAGGTGACTGCCCAAAAAATGTTTGGCCTTACAGACCTTAAATAGTTTCACCAATAAGAAGGTAGGGGGCTTACCCTCCTCCCCTCTCAGGCTATTCTAGATCTGCCACTGTCTCATATTAGGTGTACAGTGTTTTGGACTCTCAAATCTCAGTACAATATACCATTGAACAGCATGTAAATTATTGGTATTGATCANCTTGCTGAAAAAAATGGGAAGACATGATGTGATTCATGTCATAGATAGATGGGTGGGTAATCAAAAGTGAACACAGGCTTCCCATGTTAATTAGGTGTAAACAGTGTTTCACAGTGGCAGTCATCCAGACCCTTCTTCTTTATAGGATGGGGAACCCTAACTTTTTGCAGCCATTATCAGGCTATAAGTCAAGGTGACTGCCCCAAAAATGTTTGGCCCTACAGACCTTTCATAGTTTCACCAATAAGAGGGTAGGGGGCTTGCCCTCCTCTCCTCTCAGGCTATTCTAGATCTGCCACTGTCTCATATTAGGTGTGCAGTGTTTTGGACTCTCAAATCTCAGTACAATATACCATTGAACAGCATGTAAATTATTGGTATTGATCATGTTACTTCATTGCTTCGTACCATGGCACCATTACACCTGGGTTTCATCAATGTTTTCAGCAGAAAGGCAACTGGTTTTCACAGGCAGACATTTTTTTTCAACTGAACATCTTTATGGCAGTAACATTCCTACATTTGGTTGAAAACGAGCCAGGCAAACTCATCCTCACAGCTGGTCAATTTGCCTGGTGTCCAGCCCTTAATGAAACCCCTGCATTAACATCATATGTGTACTGAAGAGACTGAGAAATCAAAACAGTAATTAACATTTACATGTTTAAATTAAACCATAACAAAGGAATATATTTTTATTTGTAAAAAGAGTTTTAAATGAAAGTGATGTTGTGCTGTTATAATGAAACCCAACAGTTTAACCAGTGGGAATTCTTTTTTTTTTTTTGAAATACAATTTAAATGTATCCTACACTGCTTTGCAAAATTAAAATACCTAGGCAGGGACTAGATAATTAAGGTTGTGGTATATTCAACAAAATGTTTCACCTCTTTCACTGCTAATCATTTTTGCACCTTTGAACATTTTTTAATGAAATTTGTGCATTTTCAAATATTTGTATATTATTTATTTATTTATATTGTCACACTTTTCATGAAAATATCAAGACCCCAAAGTGTAATTTTGCACATTATTTAAAGTTTCTTGCTCACTGCTAGCTTTTTCTGTGATGATTTGGTTTGCCAATGCTTTTCCAATGTAACTTCCAATGGCCAGTTTCCTCTGTGAGAAGTACCTGCAGGGAATCATGGTAGTTGTACTCATCATCTTGGAATGGATATATATCGTTTAATTTTAAGGCTGATATTGTTATTTTTATGAAGCTGTAAGTTATATAAGATAATGGTAACCGTGATAAGCCACAAAAGTAAATACTTTGTACCAGCTGGTTAGTGGCTTTCTCACCATTTTGAGCAACCTCGTTCCCAGGCTCTCTCTCCTTTGTCCTCTCCCAACTTCTCCAAACGACAACGACAAATCCCAATGACAAATCCCAACGACAAGGGAGGAAGAGGAGAGAGAGCCTGGGAACGAGGTTGCATTTTTAGAAGTCTACAAATTAAACGACTACTCTATTGTTAAGTTCATAGTATTTCTCAACAAAAAAGATACTTGATACTGTGTATATATTTTGTAGATCTTAAGGTCATCTTTATGGTTTGGTAATTAGCTTAACAGCTTTTGAAGTATTTTTTTGGTTAAGGTGTGTAAAGATATGACATAATGTCTTAATTGTCAATTATATAGATTACAAACCTCCTTTTCTTCAGCACGAACGTAAGACTTTCTTCATTTC